TGAGACGCACTGCAGTGAAATGGAAGACAAGGTTGCTGAATTACAATATCTTCGACGGGTAATGAGAGCTAATGGCTACCCGCGCAACTTTGTCAACCAGTGCATACGAAAAGGACACCAGAGACCAAATCTAACTAGCCCCAAATTTTGGCGGGCTCTTCCGTACGTGAAGAACGTCTCGGAGGCCGTCAGTCGTCTTCTCACTCCACTTGGAGTTGGGGTTGCACACAGGCCGGAAGCAACCATTAGGCGCCAAGTAATGAGGCCAAAAGACCCGCTGCCACGACAGGAAACGTCTGGAGTCGTTTACCGGATCTGGTGTAGTTGCGGACAAAGCAATTATGTCGGAGAAACTGGGAGATTACTCCGTACGCGACTTGCCGAGCACGCAGCAGCAGTGAGGCGGGGAGACGCTAACTCTCAGGTGGCGGCACACTCGACGGGACCCGGCTATATTTTCAAATTTCAAGAGGCCGAAATCCTCGCAAGAGGTGACAACCGCGTGAGCCGCGAGCTGCTCGAGTCATGGTTCTCAGGCCCGCAATCCATTAACAAACACAATGACCTCCCGGTGCCCTATTGCGTATTGCGATTTTCCCTGGGCAGGAGAATCAGTCACGTGGGGAGGGCGCGGGTGAGCAATTATCACGGTGACAGTGAGCCAGTTTGCCGAGCAATCGTCATACCAGCATCGAGCACGGATGACGAAATCGCGGCAATTAACAACTCGGACTCGGACCGCCAAGCCACCGCCGCATCAATTACGACCCCGGCGGCGATTGTGAGAACTGTTAATTGCAGCGCGCATACGGTCCTACGGCAGCCACGTGCTATAAATACTGCACTTCTGGTGCCACATTCACCTCTATCTGCGAATGTCTCTGATGATGGATTCGAGTGAGAATCCGAAACGTCAGGCAAATAAACTTCTTGTCCCAGTGATCGCATCTTCATCTTCTGAATTCCTACTTTACCAGCTGAAACGAGTATAGTAGTAATCGCAGGTGTCAGTAACGACGATCGAACTGTCTTGTCTGTGGGAGAGAGTGAGAGAATAACCGACACTCAGCGCATTTTCTCACTATAAAAAATCTGACGTGCTTGGAATTATAGGGGCACATTAAAAGCAGCAGATTAGAAGGTAACAACCTGACAGTCCAGATTGGACCTCGCAGTCAGCCCAGTTTGTGTCCGTGTAGAATGGTCGACTGGTGGACTTACAGTCAGACCAATTGTAACTGCGCCAATCTTCCCGCTTATTTGGGAAGAGGGAAAAAAGAGTCAGGCCGACAAAAGAAGTCCACCCCAAGATGTCACCGTCCGTTCCTCATTATAACAGATCTGGCGCGGTTTAATCTATTAAGACGCGCCAAAAGTCGTGACTTGGGAGGTTATCAACCGACTGTATAACACGGTCATCATAGTGGAGTGGCTGGTGGACCGAGCGTCGGGCTTTTCAATGCGACCTTCATGGAACTCTCGCCGGTGTGAGATCCGAGCCGCCTTCTGTGAAAGCCTGGCACATCCTCCGAAGACCAGGTTGTCCATGGCGCGTGTGGACTGTTAAACTTTGCCAGCCACGGCGTCTGTGCCTGCCACCAGTCGTCTTGACATTGTCCTGTCATTGGAGAAAGGCGGTTGAGAGGGGATTGTGTGGTAGACGCTTCGAAAGTCTACCTCGCTATAAAATAACTCTCGCAGAACTCCCACCCCGTGTAACACACGGTGGAAGTCATCGCTTGCGACAGTCTCAGTAAAGTTGGATCTGTTGACGCTCCAGGACCTAAGAATGAATGTCGTACGACCATCAACAAGGCCTCAGTTGGTTTTCACCACGTTGACCTACATCTCCTGTCGGCCAACTTTGTGTCGTCAGTAGTTGCAGCGACATCCAGACAAGATGATGTCCAGCACCAGTGATAACAGGGCTTAGAAACTTAAATGGCATTGCCGATAGAAGTGTCAGCCCGCTCAGACGACCCCTGACGGTCGACTAACAGTTCAGTTCTAACCGAGACCTTTCCACCCGGGTCGTAAGCGAAAGCTTCGGTAACGGAATACCATACCAGTAGCACGAGCATTAGCCAAAAGCCCATATACGCGAGCTTCGCCGATATTCTGCCGCTGCATGACACAGCCGCGAGGGGTTCGGCCTGTCAGTGGGTCCCCCAGCATTCCCCGTCTGCTTTCTGATAGATACACAAATTTAGAAATTGTTGCCTTTTAATCTCCTCAGAAATCAACCGCGAACTTGGAGTAGGTCAGCATATTCCAGGTCTATAGGCCCAGACCTAAATTTTTATGTATGGACATTTGGGTCGAGGTCCATTAGCTTTTCCAGATGAACAGAATAAGTCTTCGACCCCCAATACCAAGGCCTGACGCCGTAAGACGCAGCTAACAGAACACCTTGGAGGCTGTTAATAGTATTGTAGCTCATTCGCTACAAGCGAAGACGGCCGCTATCTCGGGGCTGACGCAGTCTTAACTTGCAAATGAACTACTTTATGGTAAAGCACACTTGTGGAGAGTATAACTCTCTTTTCATTTCTTCCAGTGGAGGTGTGCGTGCAGCGGCTGCCGAGGTTAAAGATGTAGTAGAGGGGCGCTCACCGATCGTTCTTACGGAACTCACTCGTTCCATTGTGCCTTACGGGCTCTCTCTCGAGCCCAACCAGCAGCCGCACAGCGCCGCATGATACATAGGCAGAATAACATTACCGACAAAGACAAGGGAGACTGGAATGGCCATTTCTGGCTTATTAGCCGTCGTCAGCCAGCCATACCCAAGCCCGAAGTGTGGAACACCCGAGCCTCGAACTCGCGACCTGTTGGTTTAGAAGTCAACGCCTCTACTCACCGGGCCACGAGCCCGTTGCCTTGTCGGTTTTCGATCGGGAATATACAATGGTAGGGGGCGCCCACCGATCGTTCTTACGGAACTCACTCGTTCTGTTGTGCCTTACGGGCTCGCTCTGGAGCCCAACCAGCGGGCGCACAGCGCTGCCTGATATAGGCAGAGTTGCATTACGGACAAAGACAAGGGAGACTGGAATGGCCATTTCTGCCGTATTAGCCGCTGTCAGCCGTTCATGTCCAACCCCGAAGTGTGGAACACCTGGGGCTCGAACTCGCGACCTCTTGGTTAGAAGTCCAATGCCTCTAACCATTGAGCTACGGGTTCGTTGTACTGTCGGTTGCGATCGGCAAGTAACAATGGTAGAGGGCCGTTCAGCGGTCTTTTTTACAGAACTCACTCCTCCCGTTGTTTGCCCATGCCATACACATACTGGTCAGTCGGCTAGTGATGAGGCTACATCGCGAAGCAACAGCTGCAGACTGAGTGGTGTGCTCCTCGGCCACGGTCTCTACTGTAATCCGGAAATTTCGAGTCTGTCGTACCGGTTATAGTGAGAAAAATATTGAGTTTCCCTGAGAAAGGGTGACGAATTACCGGCTACAAATCCTCTTTCGTTCCCTACACGCAAGTGGATCTCCACCGACTGGCGGCGACTTTCGATACAGTGGCTGACACGGTGTGATTCCCACATGCCTAATGATCTCACCACATGGTCTTTGCCTCATTTATTACACCGGTTTCCTGACCTCCCATCCAGAGTCAAGGGCGAGCGCTGTATCTGCCTGTCGTGCAGTTCTCTCTTCCACTTCTCTCAGAATGACCTTTGCCTTTTTAGTCAGGGACGGAAGGGCCGTTTCCCCATGGGGCATGGAAGAGTTTAAAGAATAGCAAATGATCGATTGATCTTCCCCGAGGCAGCGTAACGAGAAATGCAAGAAGCCCTCCCCCCATGGGGAAGACGCAGGACCCTCGGAGCCAGTCCACCCACGAGTCGGTGCGAGACTCGCAAATAAA